TGAAAACTGCAATTTTCCACCCAGAAACTGAACGTTACGTTGTCCAGAAACTCACAGGACTCCTCAGAGAAGTGTTAGTGCAGCATATCAACCACTGCCTGCTGAATCAACTCTGATGGAATTTTAGTTTCTCTTGGGACATTTAGTATGTGTCTACTACGATAGGTAGGTGGACAGGAAGAACAGCCTGAGACCACATAAAAGCAACAGCAGTTTCTAAAATTGTTTTGACTGTGAAGCAGATGAGATACAAGATGGTTATGGGTAAGAGCTGAAATGTGTATTGTACCCACCAGGAATCAGAGAAAATGTGTTACACTGTATAAGCTTACCATGTGTGCAGATTGCTTACTGTCTTCTGTATTTCCCACCCTGTAGTCCTTTTTGTTTTCAGTAAAACAGTCCAAGTTTTATGAAAGAGGACTGTTACAGCTTTTATCAGTTATGGTACAATTTAAGGAATACCTCTGCTCTTTCTTCTAGTATTCTCAGGTTATGTTGTATAAGTCATTATTCTGTTACTTCCCTTTTATGCCTGGTAGGCAAAGGCAGCCATTTAAAGCATATCTTGACATTATTTTCTCTGAGAGCAAAGAGGGTTTCATACATCTTGCAGCTGTGCCCCAAATAAAAATGTGTAATTTTGAAATATGCATTTATTTTTATTTTCATTGTTACAGAAACTGTCATTCTTCTATGACTTGGTCTTCCTACTTAAGAAAATATAATTAAACAAGCTGTAATGAAAGAGCTTCTCTCACTGGGAGGCCATTCTAGTGTCCAACATATTCCACAATTGTGTTTTCCTAGATACTCTAATTAAATGGGCTTGTCTGTAACTATTCACAGACAATGTGGTTCCAAACACTATCCTAAATATTCATCATCATCCTTCTTGCTTCTAAATATTTTCAAGTTATCACCACTTGTTCTTTGTATCCACTACTTCCCTAAGCTGGAGTTCAAATTTGTATACGGTAATATAAGTGTGGGAGGTATTTGGTGAACTGCTATGTATGGAGACCAAATATGCAGCCAGCCATTAACTTTCTGTTTATCAGTTACAAAAAGTATAAATTACAAATGGTACACTCTGAAGCATACAAAACTAATTTTCATCAAACTAGCATTTCCCATTTATTCGTAACTTAGCTGTATACCTGATACATAAGAATAGAGACCATACACCCTCTAAGCAATACAACAAAACTCAGTCTATGCAAAATTCCTCTCACTTTTATTACATTTTACTTGCAAGGCAAGGACATCACTGAAATAAGTTCTGGGACTCCAGGACAACTTCACCTGTATCCTTACCGTAGCAGCACCTTTTGGATCTGGTGTAAACAGGAGAGGTATCTGTTCTCACCACACTTTTTCCCAGCAGTCAATCTGTGATTAACATTGTTCAGCCTTTTGTCTCTTGCTTGTATTGGAATGTATGATAAAACGTGGGAAAACTCTGGAGGCAGGTATTTCAGACAGCTCTGGATTAGAGATTTGATCTGCATAAACCCTGCTGTAAATAGAAGCCTACTGACAGTAGAAGCCTTACCAAATGCATATGCCTTTCAAGAAAAAAGTAATCAATATTTTTTTCACATATGGCAGACATATTGCAGAGAAGCAACACAAGCAGCAACAGAAAGGAAGAACAGAAACAGTAAGCCAAACAAATAAACAAAAAAAATCCCCTCTTTAGCAATTCTAGACCATTCTTGCCCAAGCTAACCCAGAGAAAGTAAGAGGACACAGGAGCATTTACAATAGTGACTGCATGAGCGATTCCCTTAATGGGAGCTTACCATTACTAGCATACTTTTGCAGTGCAAGAATTTAATTCTGGTATACACTGCTACAGGGTGCTTCCAGTCATTAGTTGTAGCTAGTTTTGGTGATTGAAATCAAAAGTTTTTATTTCATAATAATTTTGTTGCATGATGTTTGTTTAAAAAAAAGAACTGAAGTGTAGCGTTTCTATGATCTATAGATTTGGTAATTTTCAGGACAGAACTCTTTCATTTATCAGTTTGATCTGGTATTGAAAAGAGAAAGCTACATTGCCCATAACCTAATAACTAAACCAGTTCTCTATTTGCAGCTGGATTTTCACTGCTTTCCTGATGACCTCTGGAAGTACAACCTATTTCAGCATACAACTGCTTTCGGTCACTTTGCTTTACACCTCAGTCAAAAGTTTGTAAACAAAACTGTGGCTTTTTAGACCATCCTCGGAGACTACTACAGTGGCTGAAAAGGAGGGGCCAGCTCCTTTTTTGAAAACTGAGCAATTACTGAACCAAAATCAAGCAATAAACTTTCTTGATTAGCAATAGCTGCAATTCATCTTACACCTTTGCTTTTAGGAACAATCATCTCAACATTATGACATTCCATAACATACTATTTCATTATCATACTAAAACAATAATCACATTAGCAAGGTTCCTGTCTCCTTTCCTCGCATCAAGAGCTACACACAGATATTCCTTTTAATTGCTTCCAGAGAAACGTCTGGTCCTGCCAATGCAATTGTAACAGACTGTTGTGCATCTCTGGGTATACCCAACTACTACATACAGCTTGAACAGACTTTTTGGGGGGAAGTCAAACCACTTCAGCCTAAACCATTACAGAAACAGTCTGGTTTCACTATCAACTGTAATAGCCCTCCTGCTTGCAGTGTGACAATGAGCTTACAAAAATCTGCTACAATCAGCCACTTCTGAAAGCTGTATTGATACACGTGATAAGTATTATTAAGAATATGGTTCAAGACATCAGACACTACCCACGGAAAGTAAATACTTATGGTTTACATTGAATAAGAAGAACAACCATTAGATATGGACTGATAAGGACACCCAGAAAAATCATGATAAAAGGTAGTCTATTCAACAGAGGTCAGCCTAGCCACCATAACATAAAACAGAATCATCTTTGGTGGAAACTTTTGTTTGATAAAGCTGAACGTTTTTCAAGTCTAACTATCTAAAGTTTTCATTGGTTGTTGCCTGTCTTGGTTCTGTAGAAGCATCGCTTACAGTCCTGTCCTCCCATCATTTCCTGAGTCTGGTACTTTCTCTTTGGGGACTCAAAGACTCAATCTTTGCATTATTATAACATGAAAGATACAATGTGCTTTCTGTGGCTGACTGCAATGCAAGATCCACACTGAGAGTTTGCTGGCTTCAAGGGAAGTCTGTGTGTTGGCTTTAGCAAGACCTGGAACAGCAGTAGTTTAGGTTTTTGACTTGCAAGAACAGAAGAAAAGCAACACTGGAACAGCAACCAACAGAAAAGAGCGTAAGTACAGAAAAGCATTTATTCTCCCAGCTGTGGTTACAGCACTTCCTGTAGAGGTGGCACCTCAGGTATGTAACAGTCCCCAACCAAATTTTCAGATTAATTTGTCAAGTCCTTACCTGAATTCGCACACATTTCAGCATGCACTGTATCCTGTACCAAGGAGTTCTGTAGCCTAATTGTGGACTTCACGAAACGCAGCGTTGTTTTGATCATGCTGAATCTACCAGGTGTTAACTTATTTTGATACCTGTTAGTTCATGTTCTTCAGTGGATAAAACAGGTGTTCGCTATCTATTTTCTCCATTTGACTTGCAGTTTTACAAACCTTTACTTTATTCCTCTCTAAGCATAATCTGCAAATCATCTCTTTTCTAGGCTGAAGAGTCCTCTCCATGTACCTAGTCACTGACCCAGCATTGTAACTAACTGAATTGCTCAGTTGCTTGATAACAAGAAAAAACAAAACTCTGGACTGGTTTTTACTGCATCACTACCTTGTAACTCACCTTGAGATTATTCCAGTTAATGTCAGCCTCAATGCGAATGAAGTTAAGTCAGAGTAGAGCCAAATTAAAACCCAAGCTGGTAACTTATTTAAAAGGATAAACAGATTTGAACAATGGATAAATGAATTTAAACATATCTCCACTAGAATTCTGAGCTAGCCTATTTACATTGTTTTTTTAATACAGAGGAAAACTGAAGCAGGAAGCATATCTGTCTTCATCATTTCAATGTCCACAAGGGATATGGAGCTATGATTGCTCATATGCAGTTAGACAACCACAGGAAACTGCTTGTAAAGAACCATGTTCAAAGGTGGAATGTAATACCATGATTTCATTTCACACTGATAAAATTCAGACCCTGCGCACATCACCTTCGCAGTTCTGTTGCAAGTCAGACATCTGGTTAAAGATGTCACATCTGCCCCTGTGGGAAACTACAGAAGTTTGCTAGTTTAGAGTTAGTAACAGAAAGTTAATCAGGCAAGACACTAATTTGTGTTCCAGGAAAATGCAGCATGCAATAGACTAGGCCGACATATGCTAAGTAGGAAGGTAAGCCCAGTACCCCTTGGGGTGGTCAAGAGAAGCAGCAAGTATTTCCCATGCAAATTATCAGTTCAGGAGCAAAAAGGTGCACATGAAAAGGATGTTAGAGAGAAGAAGGGAAAAAAAATCCCAGAGAAGACAGAACTCCCCGGTAATTATGATGGAACTGACACAAAATTTACCATGACAATCACCTGTTGGAGATATTGTGCAGTTGACAGATTAAGTGGTAGGTGCTGGTACAAAACCACACAAACGTGTTTTACTTGCATTTATGGTTGCACAGACTATGTTTATGCATTTATGAGTTAACTTTTTGCAACTGAAGTGAGACTTACAGAGCTAAATTAATGCTCTCCTAACAGGTCTTTTCAGTATTTTACTCATAACCCACACAAACTCCTAGCTCTGCTTGGGAAATTTAAAATGTACTTATCCTTAAATGGATTTCTCAATCATGGTTTCAGCCACTTCAAAACAGCAGCAAGGGATAAGTTTGAAATCCAACATTGCTAACATTTTCTAGGACCACCAACACAAAGATGATAAAGGAGTTCAGTAATGCTATGTTCATTCATTAACATGTCTGGAAAGCCACTTAATAAGTAACAAATCTAATGTAACGGAAGCACTAACCAGCGACTGTCGGAACAGGAAACACTTCTTTGGGTCAATGCCACAGGCAAGGACAGCAGCAGTGGTGTCCAGTATGTTCTGGCGCAGGACAGCTGGCTCCTTGGGCATGGTGAAAGAGTGCATGTCCATAATGCTATACAGCACTGAGCTGCACTCTTCCTGCAAATTCACCCAGTTCTGAATGGCTCCAAGGTAGTTACCCAGATGAGGTGTCCCAGTTGGCTGAATACCAGAGAAAATCCGATCCACGACCATACTCTGTTACAAAGCATTGGTAAAATTAACACATGCATTTTTGACAGTTTATTTTATATTTTAAAGTAATTAATAAAGCCTCACTTATGCCTGTCTTCTCTCCTCCTGTCAGTATATTAATGTATAAATTACCTTAGGACTGCCTAAAAAAACCCTGCAATTAAGTCGGTCAAAATACTCTATCTCACTGCAGAGAGACTGACAACTAGCATAATTTTAACCTGTTGGACTGCATATGCAAACAAACATAGCTGTAAACAAGATCAGTGAAAAATAGATCTCAGAAATCAAGTGGTAGATTCTTTCATTCTGTTTTGCACCAAAGCTGTATGTTTCTCTTTAGTACATTATCCACTCTGATACAGAAACTTAGGATCACAGTGCAGAGAAATTAAAACATTTTTGTTTTAAACATATGCAGTATCCAAGTAGATTGCCATATTAACTCCCATGAACATTGAAGTCTTATTTTTCTAGCTGCAAAGACATTTTAAGCAGTTCCTGAAAGAAACCTAGTCCTTGACTCAAAGGTCAAAGAATAATGAAAGAGATTACCAAAGTTTTGAAACTACCTGTCTTGGCAGCAGTAGGGTTTCTAAAAGGGGTCTACAAAGAAATACTGCTGTAGCTCAAGATCACACCTGGAATACTGTGGATGCATCACTACCAGTAAAACGTCAACATCTGAAGAGAGTTCACAGAGAACTAGCAAAAAAATGATTAACAAGCTGAGGTTGTGAGCAAAGATTAAAAAGCTTAAAACATGTATAGCTTGGCTAAGTGACAGTTACCGTCTTGGAAAGTTTGTTTTCCTGCATCCCAGCCCTCCATCTGACCATTTTCTCACTGGCCCAAGCTGTCAGCCTATGATCAATCACCTCTCCGACCTTTCCAAAGAATTCCACCATATTCAGAAACTAACTCAGCAATGTTTTATGTGAAAATGCTTGTTATGTGCCAAGTTGTAAGAGAGTGCAAGACTGCTTGACTTATAAATGAGGGTCCCACCAACGTCAGCAGGGAGTCCTAGTCACAAAGCTGCAAAATACAAACCCTCAGACTCTGTGGTTCAGCA